AAAGGTTAAGCTGAAGGTAAACCTCATTCTTCCACACCTTCCTTGCAAACCTCTAAGTTGTCCCAAAACAACAACCCACGGTCCCTAACGCAAATATGCCGTGAGCTCCCGCTTACGGGAACTCTTTGGGATACGCTCGCAAATGCTTAGGACGAGTTCCAGTGTTACCTGGGGTTTAAACTCAGCCCTGCTAGGTCTGACATTGAAACAGATGCAAAATATTAGGGAATTAAACTATCCTTTACAACAAAACGTAACTTCCGCTTGAGAATCTTTACACGGAAGTTAGGCCTGAGCAGGCAGCTTAAGGAAGGCAGCGAATATTACACCCAGCTGTAAGGACGGCTGCATTCGGGCTGTTGAATGACTTAAATAAAAACAAAACCCGAAACAAACCAGCAAAGATTATTGAACTGAAATTATGAATTAAAGCAAATCTATCCGATCTCATATCTACTTAACAACCGATGTACTTGCTTAAAGAAATGGAGAGCAAAGAAAACCTTATATACCATTTCAGCCATAGTGAACGGGTCCAGAATATAAATTAACATGTCCTATCTTTACATTAAATAGTCTGCCAAACTCGGGCGTGTTAACAGCTCCTAAATATCACAGGAAGAAAAATCACCCGAAACCAAACAAAAACAGGATTCACTGGCTCGAGGTGGCATGAAGTCAGAGGAAGAAAATGAAATTTTGAGTCTTTTAAATGTTATTTTACTGGTCCTCCTCAGAGCCCTGCTTTGCTGTAACTCTTTTATTATGCAGAAATAAATTCTACCTTACACCCTCTGCACCGCATCTATTATTTTCATGCCTGTTCCTACAGTATGGGAGTACATATACAGAGGACATCAATAGTCTTAATTCCCTCCCTTAAAACCATACATGGCTTTACCATGCGAAGAAGCCCCCCAGTAAAACAGTATTTCCCAGTATATTTTTTCCCCCAAGGCATTACTTTTGTATTGGCTGCAGGTTATAGCTAATATATTTGAAGTATTTGGGAAAGTTAGCCCAGACACAGCAGGTCGATCCCCTAAACAACCCCTCCACCTTCAGATATGCTACATATTGCATTCCAGTTTATGATTCTTTCTTCATAAAGAATACATTTTAAGTAATTTCTTCCATTAATAAAAAAAAGCTGCTGTCTGCCTGCATTTTGTTCACAGAAACTCTGCAACTGTGTGCATTAAAAAAAAACATCTATTGCAACATAAATAGAAGTGCTGCTTTATTATATACATATATATATATGATATACTATCACCCAAGAAGGGCCATCTAAAACGCCACAGTTGCAAACATTTAAGACTGTAACAAAAATAACTGAGACTCTAGTATCAGTTTACTATCCTTCAACAATTTCCCTGACAGTGGAGTCAAATAATGTTGAATTATGGACCTTCTTACAGGAAGTCTTATTTCATGTTCATTTTTTGATCATTTCCCTTCTAGTCCCTATAGGAATTTGGCTCTTTGCCGGTTTGCCTTTAAAAGTTTTTGCACATGTAATTGGCTTGTGCATTATTAAGTTACAATTTTTGTCAAGTAATACTACCACGGATTTGCTCAAAGAGTTTATTTACTGTAAGAAAATACTGTTTTGTCCCTATAAAATCTATCTTATGCTGCTAACGTACTTTATTTGGATGTGGTGGCTACTTTATACTGTCCTTTCCTCAGAGGACTTTCTAAAGGCTTTCTGTAGACACGCTCTCATAGGGGAATTTTTAGTCGGGACTAGAGCACCTGGGTGCCAAGGTGATGTGGCTTCAATAAAACAGCCCCATGGTAATAGTTTAGGGTTACCTAAGAAACTTAGCTCCCACTATCTGACTACAGGCAGTCTTTAGGGTTCTTTTCATGGGATGCAGTTTTCCCAGTCGCATCACCCAACAGCTGTGTTTAAAATCTTTCCAGGCTCCGCCAAACATTTGAAAAGTAAAACATGCAAATGTTTGCAAAGCTAATGATTAAAAAAGGTTTATTTTGAAACTTTTGAAGATGGGTGCAATCCTTCAGCTAGGGCCTTTTAAAAGTTCCGGGGCCTGCTTGATCTTGAGTTCAATTATCCCCAGCACCCCCCTTCGCCCCCCAAACTCATCCTTGTACTTCTGGAGCCGTAATGATAAACAACAACTCTGCAGGTCCCACCCTGGCAGGCCTCGGGGTCGTGCCCGTGGGAGAAGGATGCTATTTTAGTGACCTATTGCCACTGAGCTAGTTAAATCACGGAACAATGGTTAGTGTTATGGGGCTTTACTTTGCAAAATCTAGCATTAGTGTCATTGCTTTCCATTAACCGGGGGACTTAAAGGCACTGGCATTGAGGGGCCTATAAGGAAAGGATAAATAAGGGGAAACCAATAAATAACACCCTCCCCCCCAAACTGTTAACTGTAACCTTTACTGCCACAATATAAGAAAATGCAATTAAACCCATAATAAAAGCTTTTACATACTTACTCTTTCCCTACTCTCACGAGCTGCAGAGGGGCAGCCCTCCCTGCCCCTCTCCCACTGCCCGGCCCTGCGCGCCCGCGCTTCCATAAACGCGCACCGCGGAGCGACATCCTCATTAGCCGCCCCACCGACAAGCACTCAACACCTTATTATTTAACCATTAGGGCCCAGATACTGCCGGCCTCGCCGGGGACGGGCTTGGCACCGGACTTTACCTGGGGCGCGGGCGGCCGCGCAAGCCCCAGTATAACTCCCCTTCCTCTACGCGCAACCTCCGCGGCCCCCCTTGAGCCGTTCGCCCTCCCTGCGCCGCCTCATCGACCAGGAGGGTGCGGGAAGCTGAAGGGGACAGGCTCATTTTTGCGCCTTTTCCCTCTGACGGGGAATGCAAAGCCCCGCTCCCCGCGCAGCTTCGTGGATGCGGACAGATAGCGGCAGCGGGGCTGCGCATCCCGCTGCCTGGCGAGGAGCCGGGGCCCCCGGACCCCCCGCCGGTTCCCGCGGCTGGCGCAGGGCCCTTGCAAGCGGGCGGTGCCGAGGCTGAGCCCCGCGGCGGTGCGCAGCCGGACCCGCGCAGCGGGAGAGGGGCCGGCGCCCGGCGCGCAACCTCCGCGCTCCAGGAGAAAAGGGGGGGGGGGGAGGAGGGGAACGACCACACAACACCCCCCACCCCCGACAACCCCAAAACTATAGCTTCATTTCTTTAGCTTTCACTTTAATAAAATAATGATTCGTTGGGAAAATGGGGTATAAATCTTCATTTTGGAGGCAATTAAAGTGTTGATTTCATTCGTGCCCCTGAGCGATTCTTGTAATTTGCTCAAATAGCTTTATGTACCCAGCACTCCAGAGCTTTTAGAAACCCATTTTCTAGTTAGACTTGTTGGATTACAATTTTTATTCAACAGCAGCGAGCCGAGTGTCCCTCAGCTAGACCCCCGCTGCAGGGCTCCCCTCTCTCTAAGGCGCTGCGTGGGGATGCCGGTCTCCCGAGCATCTCCCGCGGCCCAGGAAGCATCTCCCGCGGCCTCGGACCGCCGAGCACCTCCCTGCCGCGCCGCCCTCCGCAGCAAAACGAAGGGGGAGAAAATACCAAAAACCCCTTCCTCTGTGCACATAACCCCCTTTGTAAAAGTTCATGCCTTTCCAAGCCTGCCTCCCCCTGTCACGACACTACCAGCAGCCCGATAGCCTTTGGCAGATAGGAGAAAATAGTTAAGATAGTGCCCACGCTGCAAAGGCAACGCACCTTTCTGTTGGTAATCTCAGAAAATAACTCCTGGTTGACAGTGCTGGAGATAACGGCTGAGGAAACTCCTGTCTGCTTGGCTGCGCCTCGCTTGAACAAAAGGAAACCTCCAGAGTCGGGAGCTGATCACTCCTAAGACTCTATTTACGAAACTGATCATCAAGAAGACATAACTTGAGGGGGTTTTACTCGGGGATTTATCTTTTTTTTAGTGTGTGTTCAGGTCCCCTCTCTCGCAGCCAAAGCGTTGCTACCCCTCGGTTGAGAGAAAGGAAAGCGACTGGGGAAACACTGCAGTTTTACTCAACTCGGGGAAAAAAAAAGCCAAATCTCGGCCACTTCCATCATCCAGGATCTTATTTTAGCTCTGGGCACCTCCTGAATTAGCCCAAAACACTGCCATTTAAAAGGCAAGGATCACAGCCTAAACCCAGTGACCAGACAGACACAGGAGAAGGGGAGAGGGGACAGCCGGGGGTTCGCGAGCCGTTCCCATTTCCCACATTAGCTACAGCCGGCATTAAAGGTTTGAGCCGTCCCAGGCAAAACCTGGACACCATCATAGCTACGCAAGGCTTTCCTGGCTTAGTTTTGGGGTTAAAATATTTTATTTTTTTTTTGAAGAGAGGGTGTGAAAACTTGACTGATCAAGGCAAAGAATTTAAAACCTGGGTCCAGTTCGATTTTCTCCGGGTTTTGTTGGCTTTTTGGGTTTGGGTTTTTTTTTTCTATTAAGTAAAATAAAATGGACGCATTTGCAGCAGGCAGGCGTGCACAAAGCAATGTTCACTGAAGTCTAAAAGCGTTTGGCCAAGGAAAACTGACAAGACGGACTAATGAACCGTAGAGACGGGAGGAAAATAGCCAGTATTTGCTAGATTTCAAACCCTCTCTGTCTTCCCCAGACCACCTATCTCGGATTTTATTCTTATTTTGGGCAACGGCTCCAGCCCTTCCTCTCCTCAGCCACCAAGAAGCCAGCGATTCACAGATACCACTTCCATTATTGCAAAGGGTAAATAAAATAAAGACAAAAATTAAAAGCGACAAGAAACAGGTCGAGTTTGCAGGCGATGCTTTTACAAGCTCATCTCGCCAGGTCGAATCCGGGAGCAAGCCTTAATGAAGCAATAATAGCCACATTATTCAAAAATTTTCATTTCGATGGAAATTTATCTAAAAGGGAGTTAATCATATGCAAATAATAAAAGGAGGCGTAGTGACCCAGCGAGCGATCTGCATACAAATTTCAGCGTGTGCGGCGTTGGGGAGATCATACCTGATCTGTTAGATTTGCTGATCTTGTTATGTCTTCACTGTCCGATTTTGATCCGCCCTCTCTATCGTCTATGACCAAATCGATAGGCATTTTTCCTTTCAAACAGCTAATATACCGGTGGCAGAAATTGTCACATAATTCGTGTACCTACATTATGACAAAGGTTAAAAAAAAGGGGGGGGGGGGAGGGAAGGAGGGGGAAAAAAAAAGGAAAAAAGGAAGAAAATATAATCAGGAATACATAAGTAAAATTGACAAGTGCAACCAGTCTCCCCCCTTCACCCCTGTGACATCAAAAGTCCTAAACAGGGGAAACACACTGCAATTATCCCCCTGAGACCTCTAGACGCATCCAGAATTAGGAATAACTTTCTTTTCTCGCAAAATAGAGATATCCCAGAAAATTGACAGTGACAAGATGATTCACAGGCTACAACATATTCAACACCCGTGTTAAATTCATCTGCTCCCGGAGCTGTGGCCATTAGAGAGGTGACCTGCATGGGTGACATTTAAGGTAAACTATTTAATTTCATCCAGTTATTTCACCATAAACCCTTTCCAATGGGGTATGAGGACAGGAAAAAGGATTTAACAAAAAAAAGAATAAAGAAAAAATCCCGATGCACTGGGCTGAAATACATCACAGGCATTCACGCCTTGAAATCCCCAGCCGCTCTAATAGAATCGTACCTGAGCCACCTCTATTAATGGGCAGATTTGAACACATTTCAGGTAGACGGAGAACAACCTGCCAGTTATGGTTAGATAAAGTGGCTGAGGCTCCCGAGAAACTTTTCAACTATTTAAAAACCTCTCAAAATGTTTATTTTTAGGAGAAAGGGAATTCTCTTCTAGGCCAGCTATCAATGACACGTAAAAAATCCTCAGGAAACCAGAGCACACTCCCAATTTAATGTGAGCTCGGATGACACCGCCTTCTTAGAAATTAGCATTCTCCCTCCTAAGAATTCCAAAATAGCTAGGAAAAAAAAACCCCTCTGCATTTAGGCTGCAATCTCTTTCTTCTGCTCGGAGGTGTACAATATTCCCAGGAACAAGAGACAGACACAACTATCAACTCTGCTTTGTCTCTGCAAAATGTTACAGGACAATCCGCGCCCTGAGCCTGACCTGCAGATGGCTCTTAAAAAAAAAAGAAATCATAAATTCTCCATTCCAAGTGACTGCGACCAAAGCCTCTTCCCCACCACCACCAGTTCAATAAAATCATTTTATTATTTTTTTCTTAAATCACGATTTCAGGGGCTTGGCTGAAACAACCATTTCGAGTCTCATCTGCAGCACCACAGACCTGCAACTATTTATACAAAGCCAGTAAAGTATTACAATGAACACAAGGCCTGGGCGTTCGAGAGCCCGGGTTTAGAGGCTGAAATTGTAATTAAACTGCGAAGAGAAATGGACGCCAAGATTGGTCTTGACACTAATTACCAGAAAGAAAGACATTTATGCAAATTTACCAGAAGCCTGAACTTCAGCAGTACTGAAACAGGGGAGGAAGAAAGAGAAAGACAAAAATTACCTTCTCTAATTCCAACAGATGAAACCTTAATACTTGTATGGCTTGAATCATCTGCAAAGATACAAACAACACGAGTATTTATCTCATTCCTGGATTTGGGGACATTCCCCACAGCCGCCCCTGCCGCACTTTGTAGCTTGACTTTTCTCTAGTAGTAAATAAAAAGTTGTTTTGATTTATGGCAATAACACTAAAACTTAATAGCGGTGGCTTTGTGCACTGTTTAACGAGAAGCGATCTAGAGTTAACTTAAAAAAGAGGGGAAAAAACCTATTGCAATGAAGCAACTAAATTATACGGATCATAAACATTTCCTTGAAAGAAAACCCAACATCCTCTAAACACCATCTCTGGCTCTGCGCTCTGCTAAAGCGGGAGCAAGGCTCCTACAGAGGAGGCACGATATTTGTTTATCTTGAAGGGAAATAAAGAAAGAGAGAAAAGACCTCATTTTCGGCGAGTTATCCAAGGGTGCATCTCCAGCCACAGCCATCCTCGATGCTTCCCATCGAGCTGCCTAAAAGGTGCGTGGAGGGGCTGGCTACAGCATGGATAAATCCACGCTCCTCTTGGGCTGGCGAGCTCACCATCAAGCCCGAAAGCTCCCCTTCGGATGGGGCTTTCTTTATCTAGATCCTTATGGGTTCTTTTTTTTCACTTCCATGCAATTCCTGCACCGTATTTACTTGTAATTATAAAAATCACCATCATCATCATAATTAAAGGAAAAATAAAGATCCACGTGAGAAATCGTCAATTTAGCACCACCAAAACCACCTCTCCAGATGACACAGAAGTTAAAAAAAAAATAAAAAATAAATGGGAAGGGAAGGGAGGGTGGTGGGGTGGGGGTGGGGAGAGGAAGAAGTAGTGTTAACTCTTACCAAGTTATCCAGTTCAGGATTAGAGGAAAAGAGGGGTTTCTCTGCTCGTATCTAAATATAAGAAAGGGGAGGAAAAGGGGGGGGGGGGAAATAATAATAAAAAAGATTTGAAATATGGAAGCAGAGAAAGCAGACGTTATTATTTCTTGCTTCATTACACTGTCGGGTCCATTATGTAACCTTCCGTGCAAAGCCCTGACTGCTGGGTTTTTAGTACATCAGCCAAACACTTGAGCAAGTGAATCAAACACACCGAAAAAGGACCTCCGGAGCTTCCCCGGCCGAGCCCCGGCCCGGCGGGAGCCGCGCAGCAGAGCTCCCGGCCGGGCACTGCCCGCTCCCACCAGCTCGTTTCGTTAGGGAAGGGGTAAATGCCGTGATTTCCCCGTATTTTTTTGGTTTGCTTGGGTTGTTTTCTTTCTGCCTCTTGCAGTAAGAGAGGGGGGAGGGGGAAACGCGCATCTTTATCTCAACACAGACTTGTTTTTCTCGTTACGATTCCTTTTTTTTTTTTTTCCCCTCTTACACTGTTTCAACCCGTTTTTGCTGACCTGTTTGGCGAACACTGCTATGTCTTCATTGAAAGACTCAGAGGAGCAAACATCGCCTCCCGCTACCCCGGGCTCCCTGGGTGTGCATGTAGCTAATTCACATTTCTCAAAAATCAGTGCTAAAAGAGGGAACAGGGGGTGTCTGAAAGAAAATACAATAGTCACACACACAGAGGGGGGGGGACACAAAAAAAAAGATCATAACGAAACAAAAAAGTAAGACCAAAGACAACAATAGTTAGTCCCGCAGCAGTGTGCGTAGGGAGGGGGACACCCACCAAAGGGGCTCCGCTCCTCCCCGCCGCCGCCTCCCGGCCCCTTCCCGCAGCCACCCGGCCGGGAGCCCCGCAGCTCCCCGGCCTGTCCGCGTTTCTCTGGCCGCAGATATTGTTAATAAAACCCTAGGACAAGCCAAGAATAAAACCCAAGCCGGTTCCAGCAGCCATTTTGAATTAACTTTCCTTGTCTTTAGGGGGAAAAATAATATAATAATAAATTTAAACCTCTGGACATACACTTCTGCCTTTCATGCTTTTAATTCCCATTTTCCTGCTGGAGGACTTGCTGGGAGAGACGGGAGGGAAAAGACCCAGAAAACCAGAAAAAGAAACAACCCTCATCCAAATCAGAAAAATAAACAAGCCCCTATACCCATGCACCCACCCTATTAACACCCAGCTCCACACAAGCCGACCCACCGGCAGGTGCTGGCCAGCCGGGCTGCCTGCTCCTCTGCCTGCTGCCTGCCGCCTGCCTCTCCCTCTGCCTTGCCGGCCCCGCTGCCTGCCCCTCTGCCTGCTGCCTCCCGCAGGGAACCAGGTGCTTTTGGGCTCTCCCAGCTTTAAAAGCCTCCCCAGGAGAAAGGCTGCGTGTGCATCTGGTTCCCTCGGCCGTTTAATAATTTAAATAAATAAATAAGCGTGGGCGCACACACACATATATATGTATATTTATAACAGGGAGCTCAGTTTTTTGTCCCAGACAGCTTCATACTTGTTTTTTGGAGGGTACCGTTTTAAGCAGTCCTACAGATTTCTGATATAAACCGATAAAGAAACTGAACGATGTGATTTGTTTTTCCCCTCCCCTTTCTGCTCACTGTTTTGAGAGCGATTTTAAAAGGCTCTTAAACTTCCCTTCAAACTCAAGACGGGCAGATTCATTTTAAAGGCATCTGCCGCCCAGTGTAACCCATCAGCTCCCATCGCAACGGCCTAGAAACCGCTTTGCAAGTTGCCGCATTGAGAAGTATTCAATGCTGTCGGGTGGAAAAAAAAAAAGTTTTAAAAAGAGAAAAAAATAAAAGAAAAATTAAAAAGGCAAAAGTTTAGAGGAGCGTCTCTGGAGTTTTCTCCTTCATAGCACAAGGAGAGACAAACAAAGTGGAAAGTTGGGCGAAGTGCTCCAAACTCTCCCTACTCCCGAACTCCTTGCAGAGATTTAGCACCCGGCGCAGGTTGTGCCCTGGGAATACTATTTTCCTCCTCTCCCTTCTCTTCCTCCTCCCCGCGGTGAAGCTTGCTGCCCATCCAGCGAGATCCGGCTCCTATTTTAGGGATCCCTCCCACTGCTACCCATGCGAGGGGCACCCCAGCACTCTCTCCCCTCTCTTAAATACTATTACTACTAATAAAGAACATGGGCCTTTTCAGCGCGGCGCTCCCTTCACCCTACCGCCCTTCAACCCCATCATCCCCATCCCGCGCGGAAGCAGCCCGCCTCGCACCCCCCGTCCGCGTTCTCCCCGGCCCATCCCGCGCAGGTTGCGCGGAGCCTTGCGCGGCACCTACCCGTAGATGGCATCTTTATCTCTCTTGAGGGCGTCGTTGACGGAGGCGCCCATGGCGGGGGGCATGGCGTTGGCGTGCGCGGCGTGCGGGTACTGGTGAGAGTGGAGCGGCGGCCCGTGGTTGAGGTGGTGGACGGGCTGCATGGGGCGGGCGCCGTGGGGGTCCCCGTACATGGTGGTGGGGATGCCCACCCCCTCCATGCCGCCGTAGTGGGGCAGCTCGTCGTACTGCGGGGCACAGAGAACGGACAGGCATCAGGGGGGGCGGGCAGCACCCCGGCAGCAGAACCGGCCGCCGGGTCCCCGTCCTCCTCCGCCCACCGGGAGAAGCCGCTTCCCCCCGGGGTGCGCCCGGGCTCCGCGCCGCCGGTTCTTCCTTCCCCCCCGCTCCACCGCCCCGCTCCCGGTGCAACCGCCGGCCCCGGCGAGGGAAACGCCGCCCCGGGGAGCACCGGGGCCGGAGCAGCTCAGCCCAGCACGGCCCAAGCTCCTCCGAGCCTGGGGCGGAGGAGAAATAATCATAATAAATAATAAATGACTTTCAAAGGGGGGGGGGGGGGGAATTCCCCATCCCCAAACTTCTCAAACCCTCCTCGGGAATAGAAACGGCTCACGGAGCCCGAGCTTCCCTCCGCTAAACTTTTCCCGCTGATAAGAAGTCAGGTACCTAACCCGGCGAGGATGCGGAAAGTTCAGCAGCGGTAAAAAAAAAAAAAAAAAAGGAGGGAAAAAAAAAAATAATAATTAAAATTTTAAAAAGTAGCTATTTTGGGTTTTTTTTCAGCAATTCCGAGAGAAGACACTTTTAAAGCCGAAAGGCTGGAAACGTTTGCCTGGGCTCTCGGGATTTTGGGAATGCCTTTTTTTTTTTTTTTTTTTTAAGGGAAAAAAAAAAAGTTTTCTTTGTTAAAGATTAAGGAGTAAAAGCGAACGCGGTTCCCAGGCAGCGGGGGAAACGGCCACTTTTCATCTATTAAAAGCGAAGGTGTGAATAAACACTTTTAAAGATCCCTGACACTTGCTTGGACCGAGAGAGTAAAAGGCAAGTTGTCAGCAGAGGAACTTTCTTTCCCAGCCAGCACTCGGAGGGGTGGCAGGCAAATGAGGCAAGAAAACTTCTTTGCAGGGCTTTTCCCCTTCCCCAAATCCCCGCTCACCCGGCTCCGGCTGATTTATTTTTTACACAAAACTTCAATTTAGGAGGTTGTTGGAAGCAAAAACCAGGAGATCGCACCCAAAATGGAAACAACAATACACAGGGCACTGCATGCTGCTAACCTCCAATTCAAATTAAAGTGAATTTCTTTTTTAAAAGAGTTTTTTTCCTTTGCCCATTGCACTGCACCTTTTGTGAGTGAATGTATAAAAAAGGGGGGGAAAGGGAAGAATAAAAGAAAAAAAAATAGAGAAAAAAAGTTGTGCTTACTCCTAGCTAGAAGTTCTGCTCTGAAAGTGCAGCGGTATCATCACCAACACAGCAAAATGCTCAGAGACATGCACACATTCAAATATTTCAAGCACTGGTGACTTTAAAAAAGACATTGGTAGGACTAGAGCTACAAAACCAACAAATACAGAGGCTCGGACATATTCACTTACATGCCTGCATGTCATTAATGTATAGAAAAGCTTGCCTTTTCCCTGAGAGATCCGGGGTGGGGAGTAAAAGAATCAAGTAAATATCAATATATACAGGTTTTAAGCCTACAAGTACAACTGATAAATCCTCCCGCTCCAGGACACCGCTTTGTGCCCCTGCTCCACAGAGGAGGGGGGTGGGGGGGGGGAAGGGGGGGAAGGAAAAAAGTAAAAAAGAAATTAAAAAAGAAAAAAAAAAGAAGAAACTTTTCTCGCAGCGTCTCTGTCAGCCACGTTTCAATATTATTTCACATTTGAAATCCATTTTTTTGTTAATACGTACCCTTTGCGCCATCGGCCTGCTTGCTCCCTTCCTACTTCAACTTCTAATATATCCTCTTTAAGGCCAGTGTGAAAAGAAAGAAACGCGAAGTTCCCCCCCCCCTCAGCCCCCCCCAAAAATGCAAAAATCCCTTAGCGTCGCCAGCAATGGAAGCAATCGAGTAAAATCTTCGGCTTGCTGGATCTCAGCGAAGCGATACGGTAACTCAGCATTAAAAAAGGAGGCAGAAAAAAAAATAGAAGAAGGAAAAAAAAAAAATCAACTCTCCCTCCTTCCTTCCTTCTTTTTTCTTTCTTTCTTTCCTCTCTCCCTGTCTCTCCCTCTTACTCTCCCTCTCGTTTCCAAGACAGCAGCGGGGCGAAAGCAAATATCCTTTCCCCAAATCAGGTTTTTTTTTTTTCCTCTCTTTCCTTTTTTTTTTTTTTTTTTTTTTTTTTAAAGTGCCCCTCAAACCCAACTACCAAGTCTCATGGCTTTTTGCCACTCCGGCTGTCAATCACAGGCGAGGTTGTCAAGGTGGTGAATGACTGATGATGATCCGCTGCGTGTGCTCCCACCGCGCAGGACACCTCAAATGTTAAAATTTTCGAGCGCGCTCACCCAAAAGGAAAAAGAAGGAAAAAAAAAAGAAAAAAGAAAAAATATATATATAAAAAAGAAAAATTTATAAAAAATAAAAAAAGATTAAAAATCGAGGAGGGAGGAAGAGAAGGAGGAAGAGGAGGGGGAAAAATTAAAAATTAAAAAGGCTCGCTAAACGCGCCGGCTCTCCTTTTATTATGGTTATTATGATGATGATGATGATGATGGGGGGGTTTTTTTCGCTCCTCCTCGGATCGCTCCTAATTCCTCGCCGGCGCCGGCTCGCTCTGCCCCTGCGCGGCCGCCGGGCGCGGCTGGCGGAGGCGGGCCGGGTGCGGGCGCGGGTGCCGGGCGGAGCGCCGCGCCGTGCCGTGCCGTACCGTGCCGTGCGGGGCGGGCGCGGGAGGAAGGGCAGCGGGGAGAGGAGGGGAAGGGGGGGAAAGGGGGAAGGGGGGAGGCGCGGCGCTGCCGCCGCGGGCCGCGCGCTGCCGGGCGTCCGCCGCCGCCGCCACCGCCGCGGCGAGCGCAGCGCAGCGCCGGGCTGGAGCAGACTGCGGGAACCCGGAAGTAGTGGTGGCCATAACAGGTCGCGTCTTACACAATGCGCTGGGCGGCAGCAACTCCGCCACCGGCGCAGGGGGGCGCGCCGCCCGCCCCGCGCCCGCGCAGCGACGCGCCCCCGCCCCGACGGGGAGAGGGGGGTGGTGGTGGAGGATACACCGCCCCCTCCCGGCCCTGCCCTCCTCGCCCCCCCCCCCTCCCCGCCCCAGCCGGTGTGTGCACCCCCCGCACGGGTGGGTGTGGGGGCTCTCCCGGCCCCTTTGTCTGACGGCGCCGCCGCCCCGCTCCGCGCCCGCGCAGCGCCCCGGGGCCGCGCCGCTGCCCGCCCCTCGCTCCCCCTCCTGCCTTCTCCCTCCTCCCCCCCCACCCCCTCCTTCCCCGGCGGCTCCCCCCGCGGCCGCCGGCCGAGTGAGCTCACCCGGCCCCCGGCCGCCGCCGCCGCGCCGCCGCCGACCAATCAGCGCCGCGCCGCCCCGCGCCGCGCCCCCATTGGTCCGGGCGGGAAGCGGGGCTCGGACCGGCGCGCCGCGGGGAGGGCGGGGGGGGTGCCCCGGTTCGATCACCCCCCCCCCCAACGCCCGTCCCTACCGGCTCCGCGGCCGCGCTGCCCTACGCGGGGAGCGCCCCCACCGCTCCGGCGTCCTCCGTCCGCGTAGCCGCTGTCCGCTCCCGTCCGAAAGCACAGCCATCCCTCCCCGCCGTCCCGGAGCGGAGAGCTCGCCGTGTCCCTTCCTCCCTCTCTCCCTTCCCGTACCTGCGCGGAGCCCCGGCCGGGCGCTGAAGGGGAGCGCTGCCCTGGCCCCATCGCACCCCCTACCCCGGGAGGGGAGGTGGGGAACAGGCCGCCCGATAGCCTGGTACAGCGGTTCCCGAGTGAGCTCCTCGGGATGGGGGGGAGTGGCAGGGGGTTTGCTCCGGTCAAATCCCCGAGGCAGGGGAAGCTGCTCCGCTGCCGGGGAGCCAGGGGTGGCGGCAGCGGCTTGGCCCCCGCCGCCACGTCTCAAACTTCAGAGAAACCCGTTTTGATTTCCCCGTACTTCCCTACCGCCCCCCTTTCCGCTAGGACCGGCCTTTTATCCCGGCGAGAGAAATAAAGACCTCTCAGGTAAGAGCCGATTTCACCCACTACCCCGCACCCGCCCCGCGCGTCCGTGGCGGGAGCTGAGCCACGGCCGTGGGGCTGATCTCTGCACTGATTTACCCGGGGACCAGCGCTCGGTCCCGGTTCCCATCTCACAGGTCCCTTGCGGGGACTCTGAGCTCCCGAAGACGCGCTGCTCTCCTCTCTCATCCCCTTCTTCCCTCTCCCATCCCCTCCTCCTTTCCCCCCTAAGAAAAAAATATCCAGCAAAACCCCTTAAAAATAAAAGATCAACCCCTTTCCCAGCGTCTCCACCAGGCCTTTATAAGATTAATTCCGCGCAACCCAGCCTAAAACACTTTTACAATGTAATTACAGGCGTACAAATTGTTTGCCCAAACCTCATTCTGGATAAGGGTTTTACAATTAGCAAACAGTTATTGCTCTCGGGGCTGGCTGCGAGGAACCGCGCTGCGCGCCTCTCCGCTCGCGAGGTGCGGGCCATAAAGGAGGGGAAAAAAAGGAAAAAAGGGGGGGAAATGGCCTAATTTAAGCAGCAATTAATCACCTATTAAAGGGGGGGTTGGGGAGTAAACGGACAGTTCTGCGTTGTCTCGGTAAGCTCCTGCGGCAGCGGCGGCAGCACCCACGCAGCATCTCGCCCGCTGCCGCCTCTTTATTTCTTCTATTTTTTTGGCCAAAACTTGCTGTTTTGCAGGGATCTACTGACGCTTCCCGCTGGAAAGGGAGAGGGAGGGAAAAAGCAAATTAGGGATAAGGGAAAAATCAAAAAGTCAAGAGCGAGGGGGGTTGGTGGTGCCCGGGCCGGGCAGCGGCCTCACTGCGGAGCGCTGAGCGGTGATGCACGGGCCCGGCTGTCCCCCCCCTCTACCCGACCCCCAGAGCCTTTTGCTAAGGGGTGCACTGAGCTGAAGCACAAAAATAAAGGCGTCTGGAGAGCAAGGGAGCCTCCTCCACGAGGTGGAATCTGGGTCCATTTGCTTATCGGATAATAAATGAGGCTTTTAATCAGGCTGAATTTCCCAGCTTAAGGAAAGAATTAGTCATACCTAGGAACAATCAAATGTTTTCTAGCTGGCTTCCCTGCCACCTTCCTACCAGGGATTTGTGGTGAGGAGGGGGGTGTGTGTGGAATTAGCATCCAAGTGTGCTCTTTCACCATTAATATTGAAATTTGAAAACTGAAATAGGAACAACCAGAAGAGACAAACAAACAAGAAACCACAGAAGAAAGCGTTTGAAAGGCGGCCGAGAGATAATCCAGGAATGCTACAGATAAGGGGGCAGAGGGGAGGCGATACGTGCGGAGATACCCGAAAAGTCAGAGCCTGATGAAACGCTTGGAAGAGGAATGGGGAAGAAAAGAAAGAAAACAAACCCCAATCCTGTTTAAAGACCTATTAAAGGATAGACCCAAGTGGGGGAATGATAGTAAAAGGAGGGGAACTGCTGGGGATTTAGGGGAGCAGATGAAGCGCAGCGCCCGGACTGTTGACCCACTGTGGCTCCAGACAACCGGGCCGGGCGGGGGATGCGGCCCGGGGTCACCCACCGCCTGCAGCCAGCGCCGCTCGGTCCCGGAGGCCGCCTGAAGTCCGGGGCGGGCCATCCCGGACCGGCGGAGCGGTCCGCGAAGGAAAGGGGGGGCTCCTCGCTCCCCCCTACCTCCCCACTACCGGCCCTGGCATTTGCAGAAGTTATGGGGGTCTTTGATTAATTAAATAGAGGGCTTCATAAAATATTCCCAATAAAATTTACGGTTGTCTTAAAACTTTCTAAACACCGCTATAAATTTCTTTAATAAAATTAACTGGGAAATGAGTTACTGGCCGGGATTTTTGTCACTTCGACTTCTCCGGCGGCGGGAGGGAAGGCACCCGGACACAAAAGGAGCCTTTCAGGGACAGCACCGCCGGCGGCTGCCGGGATGCCCCCACGGTGGCACCTCAGGAGTAGCCCGGGCCAGGCAGCGCAGAGCCGGCCCCAGCCCCTGACTGCCGGCGCCCTCCCATTTCCCGCTATAGTTGGACCATTTCGGCCTAAACCTCCCGAACAACCCCCGAGCCCGGCAGCACGAAAGTGCTGGCGTGAGGTTTTTGTATTTAACTTTTGTATCCCACGATCTAAATTAATTGGGATTAATCTGGAAGCGCTGCTCCGCTCCGGTGTCCGCTCCGATACGTGCCCTTAGCTCAGTTGCCCGCCGCATTCCTTTACTCCCTGCCTATGCCATGTTTTCTCCCTTTGCTATTGATATTATTAGACTTCTCGTTGAATTAAATAATAATAATAATAATAAAATTGCGGGGTAAAACTCTGCCTGATTAATTAAAAGGAAGAAAAAAAGCTACTCGGCTGTTTTGCACCCGAAGGATTGAGCTGTTGTGCCGTCTACTGGGGGACGGAGAAACTACACTCAGAAACACCTTCAAACTTTTTAGGGGAGAAAATTACAGTTTTAGGCAATTTGGAGGGGCCGGAGGCGCCAAAATTCTCTGCAGAAGGGAAAAAAAAAGCGACCCCGGACGGAAAAGCCACAGAAAGAACTATTATTTCCTTCGGCTACACCTGTATAGTTGTATAAAACCTCCACTTTTAAGTGCTCGGGGGTTATTGAGTGCAGACCGCGAAGCAATCAGCTGCGTTAAGGGGGAACACGGTAAAGACGGCTTGAGTTCACCCGTGGGAGGCAGCTGGACATCAGCTAAATATGTAGGAGAGGGGAAAAAAGAAAAGGGGGGTAAATATTTGCGAATGGCTTAAAACTTCTCCTCGGCACGACCCGGCTGCAGCCCTCGGGGCAGCGGGACACCCCAGCCCGGGTAGACATCACGGAGGATGCTCCCGATGCGCCGCTCGCCTTGGGGCCGCGGTGGCAGCCGCCTTTCGGAAGCAGCAGTAGGAACGGGTGTTACACCAGCACGGCGTTAGTCTCGGCTTACACTAAGCCCGCACGTCCCCGTTTTAAGTTCCAGAGCCTCTGCCCGTGCCCGAGCCGTGGATGTGTCCGTGCAGACGCAGCCAGGCTTGGTGATTCCCCTCTCTCCTCTCCCCTTTCCTCAGTCTCTTCTCTCCTCTTCCCTCTCCCTCTTCCCAGCCTCTTCTTCCTTCTCCCCTCTCTCTTCTCTTTCATCTCTCCTTCCTTCTCCCATCTCCTCTATACTTTCTCCCCTCTCAATTCTCCCCTCTCTGTGCCCATTCGGCTCTGCGCTCCGTGGCTCCTGGGATGCTCTCCTCAGAAAAACTTCAGGAAAAGACCCCTCAAAAAAGTTTTTTGGTTGGTTGGTTGGTTTTTGTTTAAAAAAACCCGACCTTTAAAAAACACCCCTTGACTTTTGCGAGGCGAGAGGCGCAGAGGGGCTGTGAAATGCAAAGCTCTCGTCGTTATTTACAGAGAGTGTCACCAGCCGGCTGTACATGTAGATAAAAATCTAGTAGTCTGCTTGAGCTCAAAGGGTTTTTTTAAAGCCAAGATCTCTAAACGGCTATTCTCAATCCACACATATGCCCGCACGTAGCCTAAAAAGCCGAAGACACCCACGTAGCTGAACAACGGGGGGTTTAAAACACGTTAAATGAAGGTATAAGCAAACCCTTCTGCCACTTGTAGCAGACCCACTCCGACAGCTCTCTGCCTTCAGAGCCACTTGCTAGAGTTCAACAGAGGGTGACATTAGCCTAAAATATTCGATACCTTTATTTTTCTGGAGACTTTCCCACCTTATAATGGTCTAAATTCAGCTCCGAGTTCGTCTCGGTGGGTAAAATCGCTGTGTTTGAAGGAAAACAACCACCTGTCTGATTATTTTTCATAGCAGCGAGGGATTACGGACACTTCCCTCATAGTACGTAAAGCACAAATTAAATGATGCCGTGCTCCCGGTGTAAAATGTTGAGTGAACCTCTTCTGAAGAGTTGAGCAAAGTATCTTACCCTTTAAATGAGTTTGAAAGTACTTGCCACATAGTACGAGAAAGAAATTACCGAGTAACAAAATAACCCCCCAGTTTCAACCCACGGGGAATTGAGCGCTGGTATCTGACAGAATCCCGGCTGAACTCGACCAGAGTGGAGTTTTGTCAGAGCCTTCCCATTTCATCTTTTCCCCCAAAACCAATTTTGAGTCTTGCTCCATCCGGATTACCTAACCCCGTCTTCAGTTTGGCTAATGAGCCCATCACCGCATTATTTCGGCTCGCCTCCGGTGCCGACCGCGGAGGACCGGGCTGCAGAGCGCGGCGGGTCGGGGGTACCGGGGGCAGAGATGGGTCTCCGCAAACGACACCATCCAGGGAAATAGGGCTGTAAATCACCCGTGCGTTATAAATTAATAACATGAAGGAGAATGAGGAGCAAAGCTCTGTGCCAACCGGTGCGAGACGGGCGCTCCCGAAACCCGCAGCCCTGCCGGGGCCGCTCCGAGCCCAGCCCGGCCGGACCGCCGGCCCCAGGCACCGGGATGTACCTGGACATGAGAGGGGCCGGGGAGGCAGGGGAGCATGTGAGGGTCCCCGCTCCAAGAGTCACCGGCTCCCCCCAGCACAGCACAACCCCCTGCACCCGTGGGTGCGTTATCACACACTTTTGCATAATTGCATATTTGCTTTACTAAACGGATCTGCGGAGCTGTTTAAACACCCCTCTCCTCCACCCGCAAACAATTCTCTGGGCAAGGAAGAGAAAAACAACCAAACCAAAACAAAAAGGGCTGAAAAAGAGCTTGAAGTTGCCGTTGATATTTCACTTTGAAGCCTTTATTAGGGCACAAGTGGCTCATCTCTAAGCAGTTTGAATCCGACTTGGTCCGTGTGAGTGCAGGCAAGAGGAGGGGACCTGCAGTAGTGCGTGTGACAGCCGGGATGGGTGGCTGTCATTCACTTCGGGGTCTCATAGGTGAGTACATGGACGTACGCGTCTCTATTTCTGAGCTCCCTTGGATCATTTTTGGCCAGCTACGACGGCCGTGAGAAAAGCGTCTGTGAACGGGTGTGGATGTGTGCACACGAAGGACTGCTCTAAGGACAACTTAGGAAAAAACCCTCCGTTTCCTTGTTAAGCATTTTGAAAACCTCCCTTGGACTGAGGCACTCTTACACCGCGTCCCCCTTTCCCTACGCCTCCCCAGTCACAGCAGTGCCACGCAAGCCACGTCAGCCTCAAACCACAGGGCTGAGCTTTGCCTCCAAGGCCAGCCGTGCTCATCCTCTGCCTGTACTGACTCCCCCATTTGCCGTCCCCTCTCCATCCTCCCCCCTTGTGGGTTGGAGCAGAGGCGGCTGCCCTCGCCCTTGAGCCTTGCAACCTCCTCCTGCACCAAGGCCGGCTCCCCAGGGCAGCAGCTGTGAGAAGCAGACAGGGAGGGGAATAAAGGCAAAGGAGAGAAGGAGGGGGATCGGGGAGGGAGGCGGTGAAAGCTGCACTTTCCTCCAAGCAGAGCCGAGCGTCCCCTCGGAGGGCCCCCAGCCCCAGGAGCTGCCTCCGGAGCCCTGGGCCTCCCACATGGCAGCAGCAGCATCACCTCCTCTGCAGCCCCGCAGCCATGGTAAGGGCAGCCCCGCATTGTGGCTCAGCCCCCGGCTGCTCCCTTCCAGTGTCACAGGGCTGCGATGAGGGGCTGGTGAGCTGCCCAGGGACAGAGTCAGGCCCACGGGCTGATTTCAGATGGGAAACTGCACCAGCCTGGGGGTTTGGAGCATCCTTCATGACAACATGACACTAACGGTCATTTTCTGTGCCTTGTTTAAAGGGTTCATTGAAAGTTCTGCAGGGATCTACAGTGGTCAAACCTCCATCAGAAGAACACATCACGATCCATCAAGAGTGTTGGCGTCCAGCTTACCCTACTGATCATTTTTTTTTACCTAGAGGATGTTAGCTTTGCTTGGGAAGCTGTGAGTGCACTTGAAAGAAAATGCTCTCCTCATCTTATCCTCAACTTAGTCATGGGAACAAGACGAGAAATCAGACAGACACCCAAACTCTGGAAAGGGAGCATTTTTCATGTGGAACCACACAAACATCTCGCAGAGCAATCGGCTCAGTTCTTCTCAACAGCAACATTATTTCCTTGCACTTAGCAGACTTCAGATCAAATATGCTGTATTTTAGCTAAGAGGGCTCTCAGCACGCTTTGAGGATGACTACCCCACTATGCAACTCTTCAGTTCAGACTTCCAAAGGTATTTTGTTTCTTCTCTCAACACTGCAGTGACCACAGTCCACACAAAATTTGGCACTTGGTTCCTGACAGAGATATAAACCACCTTTAGCAAATGTGGGCAGTAAGCCACACTTCAGGAGTTCCCTACCAGCCTAAGACTTGTTGAAAGTCACCAGGATTAAAGGCCTAAGTCATCTTTTGAAAAGGGCTGTACCCTATATGCATCATAGTGCACGCAGACACAACCAAAGTAGCTTTGAACTTCTGTGCTGCGGAGCCAACAAATGCGTGTCAGCAGGCTCTACCCACCCAAGCACTTCCCAGTGTATTTTGGGGACACTGAATTTTGTGCCTCACCCCTCTTCTTCTCTCAAAACACCACTTTTATGCCTCTGGATGCAAACAGGAGCAGAATGGAATCAAGTTTTCTGAAATGCGTTTACCTCGTCAGATAAAGGTGACCCATGGAGATGCACTATCCTGCCTCTCTTTGATCCCCCTCTCCATTTCTACCATCACTTTTAATTTGATCTTCCTCAAGTACATACCCTGAAATAGGACTGCTCACCCAAATGGTGTGTGAGGGTTTAAAGCATCAGGGGTGCCACTGTACCAGCTGAGCATCTCAAGATGTATGTGAGACAGGAAATCCTCATTCCAT